AGGTGCCTAAATCAAACCAAGGTGAATTAGGAGGTGGGGATTTGCAACAAATCTTCTTATGGGGAGGCATCTCAAACTCAAAGTGACATTTGGGGTGGTTTTTGTAATTTTCCCTAAGAAAAAAGTACTCCATCCATTCCAAAATATAAGCATTTTTAGATCTCAACATGAACTTTGAGATGCTATTTTGACCAACAATATATATAAAAGTAAAATGTTTTAAATAAAAAGAGTTGCATATTATGATAGTTCGTTTAATGATAAATATAATAACATCAAATTTACATGATTAATCTTTTTTAATATTTTACTATTAATAGTTAAAATTTAAAAAGTTTGACTTGGTATTATTGTTTATATTTTAGGAGGGAGGGAGTAGACAAAAGAACATGCTAAGCTAGGCCACACCGCCACACGACGTGACGTGCACGTGCTGCTCTCACAAACCCGCTCGTTGGTTTCAACTTTCAAGGCCGACGGTTGCGATTAGGTACCGGGTACAACATGCACAAGTGCACAAGACACGCCAGTAATAGCACGTATAAGAGCAGATACAACAGTAAGCTATTAGCTGGCTATAAACATATTTTAATGAGATAAACGATGAGAGCTACATATTTGTAGCCAGCTGTAGCACAGACTTTAAGACATAATGTGTGTATGATAGGTGAGACCATATATTAATAGTATAATAAGCAACTATTATATAAATTGGCTATTACATTGACTATAAATGAATTGGAGCTAGTAGTGGGCTATACTATTAAACTTGCTCTAATAGCAGACTATGGCTGCGTTCTTTTCAGGCTAGTAGGATTAGATTCTCCTTGTTTTCCGTTAGCACGCTTTTCAAACTACTAAACGGTGTATTTTTCTGCAAAAAGTTTCTATACGAAAGTGCTTAAAAAATATATTAATCCATTTTTGAAAAAAAAATTAGCAGATACTTAATTAATCATGTGTTAATAGATCGCTCCGTTTTCCGTGAACATTGTTGAGGGTGGGGAGAATCTGAAAAGAACGCAGCCTATAAGCTAGCTATAAACATATTTCGAGAAAATAAGAGAGGAGAGAGAATAGTAGCATGCTACAGATTTGTAGTCTACTGCATCATGAATTCTAAGATGCATATGTGCATAACAGGTAGGACCAGGTATTAATTGTATAAATTGACTATTAAATTGACTATAGATAATTTGAAGTCAGTAGTTGGCTACACTGTTAAGCACTAATAATAACGAACACGCGTGGGCCCGGGTCACTCTCCTTTGCCGACGGGCAGGAGACGCGCAAGGGACGCGGTCGTTTTCCAAGCGAAGCGATACGATGCATCCGTCTGCTCTAAATTATCCGGTGTGCTCACCGCTCCCTCCTCACTCCTCCCTGCTCGCAAAAATTCTTTCGTTTAGATGTCCCAACTGCTCTTGCAAATTGATTGATCGTAATGTAATCCTGCGTACGTGCAACACCAAGCATGTTGTTAGGTCGATTAGCTCTCGCTCACCGTCCTCTCCTGCTCTCTCTCAGTTTTCTTTTCAGTTATCTCAAGGGATAATTGTGCTTTTATCATGTTTAGTCTATCAATTTGATTTTTTTTTAACTTTGCTCCTTTGACTTTTTTTTTTCAAATTCGAAGGTAAGGACTTATCCTATTCTGTAAAGGCAACGTAGTGAACTACTGATGTTAACTTAGATAAAATAACCATATTTTCTTGAAGTTTTTGTGTATTCGACTCATTTTTATGTTCATTTACCGTATCGTGCCTCGGGTCTCGCTGCAGCCTCCGTCTTTCACAACAGCGTGCTGGGCCGAGCTCCACGCTTTGGGTCTTGCCACATGTCCACAGCCTCTTGCCGCATGTCCACAGCCTCCCTCCCCACTAAGTGCCGGGCCACCGGCACGGCTCTCCCTCCACCTGTGCTGCCGCAAAAACCCTAGCTCATGGAGGCTGATGTAGGAGGACCGGTAGGGGAGAGAAAAAAAACTCCACCTACTTCGGTATTTTCATCCTCCAAATGCCATACATCCAAGTTAGAAAGGGTCAGATGATAGGTTTAGTGTTAAAACCGGGTTAAATAAGCAAATTAAGTTGAAAAGGTGCGACCAAATTTATAATTAGATTTCTGAATAAGGTCAAAAGTACAATTATCTCGTATGAAACACACATGTGCACATGTGCAGTGCACATGATGATTCAACATGCGCTCACACCTCATGTGTACACCAACGATGACGATGCAATGGTACAATGTTTTCTATAATATAAAACGGTAAATCTAATTGGAGAGGCCTCTCCAATTAGTCTTAACCAGAGACACCCACGTGCTAGTACTTTAGAAGTTTTGGTTGCTATTAATTCATTGAGCAAGTAGGGAAAATATCCTTATCATTTATGCTTTAAATAAAATTTTCTCTTAAATTACTCATCCGATTTACAATCCGATTACACCGTTGTGTTTGTAATAATTAAATCTTTACAACAAGATCTCACATGATTATATTTTGATGAAAAATCACAAATTACTTTTATGATATGTCTAAATTACTTTTAGATTTCACTAAGTTACTTCTTATACATATAAAAGTAAATTCAGTAAAGCCTAAAACTAATTTACATATATATTATATAAATAACTTATAAAAAAGAAAGTAACTTTAATTAATGCCTTTTTTCATTGAACAAATTATCATATATATATATATATATATATATATATATATATATATATAGTTACTTTTATATTTGATTAAAATACTTCCTATACATTCATAATGCTCTGAGGTGATTACTTTTATTATTATTTTAGTTAATTCTATAATTTGTGCTGGTTAATTTAATTTCTAGATATAGTCATGTTTTTATCTCTACAACGGATTTACTTCAAATGACATGCTAAAGTTATCTTCGTTTTGTTCTAAGTTACTTCTATAATGTATGTAACTTACTTTTAGGTTTTACTGAATTTACTTTTATATATCTAGGAAGTAACTTAGTGAAATCTAAAAGTAATTTAGACATATCATAAAAGTAATTTGTGATTTTCATCAAAATATAATCATGTGAGATATTGTTGTAAAGATTTAATTGTTACGAACACAACGGTGTAATCGGATCGTATATCGGATGAGTAGTTTAAGAGAAAATTGTATTTGAAGTATAGGTGGATAATGCCTCTTATAGATGTTCCACTAGCTGTGTAGTTACGTCCAATATAAAAACTATAATGGAAAAGGACATTCTACGTTTTATAGAGGTTCAACAATGATTCCAACGTGGTATCCCAGTTCCCTCTCTTTTTTATATAACGTGCACACGATCTTTTCTTTTTTCTAAGATAGATAACACACTCCACTTGTCAGGACTAAATAAATTGCCTATCCCCATAGCTATTTAAAGTAAATCGTAACGCTATTTCAAGCCTCTCAATCTGGCACCTCGTGGATTATTTGTTAATAATCCGAACCATATGTGGAATGCCTCAGAAGTAAAATATTGAAACATGCATGGCGTCTTCTTTACTCCTCCCGTAATCAAAGTCACATGGTTTTGGATAGTTGACAACGTCCTTTTTATTAATGCCATGTGCTTCTCTGTACTAACAAGCTTGAAGGAAGTGCTCTCCATGCTAGTACATCTATTGGATAGTACAGAGCACTCCGTGTGCTTTTAGTATACTTCATTATTCCCCTAAAATTCGGGCCATGTTATAATCCTAATTTTAGTCCATACTCCACACTATGAAATTAATACTACCTCCATTTCAGATTATAAGACTTTCTAGTATTGCTCACATTCATATAGTCTATATAAATGTGGACAATACTAGAAAGTCTTATAACCTAAAACGGAGGAAGTAGTATTTATATCATGAAACAGAGATGAAAATCTTGCCAATTATGCTTTTTGGAGCTGATGGCCGGCATTTGGAGTACCTTCAATTGGATCATGTCTAGATTTATTGTACTATGTTCACATCCGTGTCTAGGTTGGTTTTTTTAGGACAGAGGGAGTAGAGCCAAACACCAGGAATATCTCTTTTTTAAAAAAACAATTCGTGACAAAAATATGTGTATTATACTAAACAAGATACAATTATACAAACATGTCACATGTCAATCTGGATTATTATATTTTTCACTTTTGATTTACTTGTGTTGTGATGTATTTTAGAAGTAAATTATATTAGAATTACTCCCTCCTTCTCTTTCTACACCAACATAAATATATTAAAAGGTGGAGGTCAGAGGTGTTCATCTACGATTTTATTAAATCCGGTCAAGATCAGACTGTGTAAACTGAAGTCAATCATTAGCACAGAAACCTGTCCACTACATCATCATCTCTCCTAAGAAATGAATACGGCCGAACTTGCCGGTTTCGACTTGTAGATGAACAACCCTGGTAGAGGTATATATGCACTCCATCCGTTTTATATAATTAGTTATTTATTTATTTTTATAGTCCAATGTGTTTTTAAGTTGGGTCAAATTTATTAAAAAAAATAGCAACACTAACAACTTGATGCTTCAAGTGACTGACGTGTAAATCTTATAGTCGTAAATTCATACTCGCTCGGTAATAATTTTAACTTTAACTATTAATAGTAAAAAAGATTAATAATGTAAAATTGATGTTACTAGATTTATAATTAAACAAACTATCATAATATGCAACTCTTTTTATTTAAAACATCTTATTTCTTAATGTTAAAGACTACGTCGAAGTAAAAAAAATATTTATATTTTAGAACGGAAGGAGTATATTGGTAACCCTGTCAGAGAGGATGATGACGGTAAATTCCATATACTTCCTCAGAAACCGCAAAGACAGAGAGAATCGAAGTGGACCAGCACAGACCCACACACACATCAGCAAGAGAAGCAGAGTAACAGACAAAACGAACAATCAACACAAGCTGTCCTCACCGCCCGGTCATCACACCCTTGCCTCGTCATCGTCTTCGTCTTCCAGCTCATGATTTCTCCACTAAAACCACGCCAAAAAACTTAATCCCCATATCATTGTATCAACCCCCATTCCCACGCCTCGCCCTCCCCTCCTCCACCTCCTCCGGCCAGGCGAAGCACGGCGGCGGCGATGGAGGAGGACTTCGCGCGGGCGGTGGAGGACGGCCTCAAGCTGTCCAAGCGCCTCGTCCTCCCCGGCGGCGCGCCCTCGCCCCGCCCCGTCCCCGGGATGGACCGGGGGCTGCTGCCCGACGCCGCCGCCGCCTCCTCGCTGCTGCCGTCCGCGCCCATGGCGTACGCCGTCGTCGTCGACCCGGCCGCCGTCGACAGCCCCGACGTGCCCAGCTACCAGCCCCACGTCTACGGCCGCCTCGACCCCCCCGCGCTCATCCCGCTCCACATGCGCGAGGTCGCCCTCGCCGTCGACTGCGCCGCCGCCGGCTGCGCCGCCGCCGAGGTCACCCTGCGCGCGCGCTGGTGGGTGCACTGCCTCACCCGCAGCTGCGACTGCCACTGCCGCATCGTCGTGCCCATGGGCGAGCAGGTCATCACTTAATTATTACTCCATCCCCTTCCTCATCTTTTTTTTTTATTATTTCTTCTTCCGTTCGATCGGTTGAAATCTTCTATACTAGGCTGTTGGCTGTTGCTGTACTAGTGCTGGATTAGTTGCCTGATTGCTTGCCGTTACCACGCGGGCGATATGCTTCCTGTTTGTTTGGTGGTTGGGGCCCCCATGAATTGGCTGTAGTTTAATCATTTGCCTTGGACTGGGGCGCCTGTTTGCCCAACTTGAAGCTGCATTTGTTGGCACGTTGATGATCCAAGTATATATGGACGATCATGCCGTTTCAACATTCTGCGCGGCAGCCTGGCTACTATGCTGGCAGTGGGTTCCAGCGCGGTTTTGGAAGCAAGCAAGATAAATTCCTTGCTTTACATGTTGCTACTAGATAATAAGCCACAAGGAAGAAATATTGGATTGTTGACTTGCAAAGGGAGGGATAACTGTGTCTGCCCATTTGCCCAATAAAGGCTTTTTACCTGGTGCACTTGATGCTATTCCTTTTTCTTGTAGTACATCACTTGGATTGTTTCTTATTCTTTAATTTCCTTCTGTTACAGCTAAAAACAGAGAGCAACGTTGCTTTTAATCAACCACTAATGTATGCTTACGTTACTAGAAAAATATGCTTTGTGTAACCCATTCAGGTGCGTTTAGGCCTCCATTACTAGCAAACCACAAATCACTTCTTTCTAGTACAATGCTTGTCGATTGTCAACCAAAATATGCTTTTTGATCATCTCTCATTTCGTGGACTTTTTTTTTGACTAATAGGTGGTTGATTAGGAACTTATTATGTGATGAACAGTCTTACCAAAAGCCAATGAATTTCTGTTGTCCTTTTGGTGAATTGGTTGACAGACTAAAGATAGGTCTCAGTGCATGGGATTTCTCTGATTTTCTTTTTCCTTCTTATATATATATTAATCTAATAACTTGGTTGTTACCATACAAACCTTTTGCCGTTCTTTTGTAATTTGCTGGTGATCTCAATCTAAGAATAATTTGGCTAATAGGGTACAATTCTAGGAGCTGAGGTTACTGTTGGGAAGAGATCATACAAAACCCATGTAATTGATGTAGAGGATCAAGGTGCAGTGAAGATTGCTAAAACTGAGAGTGGGGGTCTTTTAAAGCGCCAATTCTTTTCCTTGACAATACCACAGGTACTTTTGCTCCATGTTTTTAATGCTAGCCTGGTCCCCTCTACCTTGTCAAGTTTCAAGCTTTTAGCAGCTGTGTTGTCCTTTGCTGAATGATTTCTTTTACTTCATCAAGGTTGGAGGAGGAGAAGACATATTTGCCACGATTAGATGGTCACAAAAGTTACTATATGACAATGGACAGTTTTCTGTTGATATTCCTTTTCAATTTCCGCAATATGTGAACCCTTTGCCAAAAGTGTTTATGAAAAAGGAAAAAATTCAGTTGACTCTGAATAGTGGTGTGAGTAACGAGATTGTTTTGAAGGGCTCAAGTCATCCATTGAAGGTAATTAAGTGTTTATTGCTTTGTCAGTACTAGTGGGGATGTAATTAATAACTATTAGTTGTCTTTTGTGTTTTCAGGAAAGAAGTAGGCAAGGTGAGAAACTGTCTTTCTTCCATGAAGCAGTTGTTGAGAACTGGTCAAACAAAGATTTTACCTTTGCATATAGTGTAAGTTCTTCTCTAGTGGTACTTTTTTTTTTTGGATCAATTGCACCTGCTCTGTTATATGTTTCTGAATTCTTCATACTTTATAGTGTTCTACGGCAGGTTGAGGCAAGGTGAGAAATTCCGGAAAATTCATAGCATTTATTGCAACTGCATGATCTTAGGATAGCATATTGAATCATATGCAAATGAGATACATTCTTCAAATTTTGCCACCCTTTAGCAAATTTTGCTGTGAGATTTTAGCCTTTTCTTTTCTTTTGTGTCGGTAATGGTGGTGCTCTGACGCACCGCGCAACCTTGTACATTCCTTTTCTCTCTCTTCATATACATCGGCCGGCTATTCGCTGGCCCGGCGAAAAAAGAGATACATTCTTCAAACATTTTCTTTTTAATCCAGTGAGTATGAGCTACACCATCATTGCTGACTAATTCAAGTTGAGCTGAGATCTTCGCGATTACTGTTACCATTCTGAAACCAAAGAGAAATGAATGCTTTTCTGTTCAAAAGGGATGCACCCAAATGTTTTTATTATGTTATGACAGTTTGGATGAATTTAGCTTTATTTGATATCTCAAATTCTAAATACTAAAGTACGAAAGCTTTCTTCCTCATCCTGTTCAGACTTATGGCTTGAATGTTTCATCCAACAAGAAACATCTTCCGATAAGGAAACTTTTACGAGTTCACTGCTTGAATTTAGCTGCACACTTGCAATGGAGATGAGTATGCACTAACCTGCCTATATTTTTTTTCTTGTCTATAGGTATACTCAGGTGATTTATCTGGTGGAATGCTCGTGCAACCCTCAACATCGGATGACTATGATGATAGAGACATGTTTTGCATTTTTCTTTTACCAGGAAATAACCAAAAGAGAAAGGTAGTTGCTTTCACATGATTACTCTCATTATTAATATTATATATTATACGTGAATACACTTAAGTTAAAGGATCTCATGATAACTGTGTTTTCCCTGTTTACGAGTATCAAAACCTTTTAGCTTGCTAAAAAATACTTGTATCTTTGTAAACAGTTCTAATTTCTATTGCTGTTTCTTAGACATGATATTTTTATAAATGTAGTTTGACTTTTTTGTTTACTGCATACTGTTGAAGCTACAAATGCTATCCGATGATGTTCAGTATTGATTCAAGTTGCAGTGGGGTTTATTGGAATCCGCTTTTGTGCAACATAAAATTGTTTCTCTCAGAGCAATTTATCTAATTCGACTTATGCGATAGGTCTTCAGAAATGCCTCTGTGTTTATCATTGATACAAGTGGAAGCATGCAAGGAAAGCCTCTTGAGAGTGTTAAGAATGCCATGTACACTACTCTTTCTGAGCTTGTGCAAGGAGATTACTTCAACATAATAACATTTAATGATGAGCTTCATTCATTCTCATCTTGTTTGGAGCAAGTAAATGAGAAAACAATAGAAAATGCAAGGGAATGGGTGAACACAAACTTCATTGCTGAGGGTGGCACTGACATCATGCATCCATTGAGTGAGGTATTAGAAGATGATGTCAGTTGATAATTCTTATGCAATTGTGGCTTTTTTTGTTGCTCATATTTTCCATCCATTTCTCTGATGCTAGGCAATAGCTTTGCTATCAAACTCTCACAATGCACTTCCACAAATCTTTCTTGTGACTGATGGATCTGTTGAGGATGAACGGAATATTTGCCGCACTGTGAAAGAACAGCTCGCAACTAGAGGATCTAAGTCCCCCAGGATTTCTACTTTTGGACTAGGTAACATGCCAGATTATTTATTTCTTTTTATTACTGACCTCTTCACAAGATTGACTAATCTATGTACTGGATGAAATATCAGCTGATTTGTGGTGATGTAAGTAGTATCTTCATTCAAAGTTTTCAATGTAAATGGGAATTTCTAAATTGTGATATACATAAAAGTTAGCATATTCTCTTATGTGTTTATTAGTTTCTTCAGTACAGTTAGTTTTTGTGGAGCTAATTAAGAGGCATTCCCATAGTGTTGTTTCATTCTCTATATTCATTTCAGAAATGATATTTACACGCTTGTAATTTGACTAGTTGGTGCATTTTATAATTAATTCTTTTTTCACTGCGAAAACATTAGGCTCTTATTGCAACCACTATTTCCTGAGGATGTTGGCATCCATTGGCAAGGGGCATTATGATGCTGCATTTGATACAGGTAATGTCGATTTTCCCCTTGACTGGAGCACTTTGTTTGGCACACTATCTCGCATTATGCTTTGAAATGCTTCTAGAAACTTTTTGTAAGTTAAATGTGTCGAAATGAACTTCTATAATATTTCCACTGATGAACTTGGGAATCTCTTTTTGGTGAACTTGGGAATGCATTAAATGTGCCAAAATGAACTTCTATAATATGCTGCCAGTAGTCGAAGTCAATCAAATTAGTAAAACTTCTGATATGTTTTCATCGTTGTTTGCACCAGGATCAATTGAGGGTCGGATGGTTCAGTGGTTTCAGAAAGCTTCAAGCACAATAGTGATAAATATTTCCATTGATGCCACTAAGTACATTCGAGAATTTGAAGTAAGTTCTTCCCTAGTAATTTTTCACTTTTATTCATGTCAAAAAACAACATATGCCATTCACGATTCACCTATATTATTAATCTTTGTCGACTTGTGGTGAGTGCTGAAATCATATCTATTAATACAAACATGCAATTGCACATACTGCTAGTCAATTCATTACCGAGTAGATTGTCTCCATATCTCAGCATCCTCGCCAATTGTCATAGTCAGACTTGCTCATGTTTAAAAATACACATTTATACCAATGTGGACCTTTTTAGAATATTATTTTATTTGTTTAGAGTTTCATCGTAATAAATGTTTATGAAATAAGTAGTCCTTATGTTTTTTATTTATTCTAGAAAAGGTCTGGATAGATGATATATAAGATCAATTTATGTTCTTATTTCATATTATTATTGCTGAGTAGGTACCTTTCTTAAAACTGTTTCTCTCTCTCTCTCTCTCTCTCTCTCTCTCTCTCTCTTCTAATTATAGGTGGATTCTGAATATATTCAAGATATTTCTGCAAAATGCCCACTATGTGTGTCTGGGAGATACCAAGGCAAGCTTCCAGAGACACTTACTGCCAAGGGTTACTTGGCTGACATGAGCGAAATATCGATTGAATTGAGGGTCCAACATGTAAAGGATATTTCTCTTGACAAAGTAAGATCTCGCACATATGTTTTGCTTGTTATAGTTACAAAGGGAAGTTGAATTTTTTCACATAGTCCTTAAATAACTCATTTGTTTTTTTTTTCCTTTTTGGTTGGTGGCGATGGGTGATAGGACAGGAAATTAGGAACTTTGATAATTTGTTGTTGGGGGTGATGAATTTGGTACTAGAAGGATTTTCGTATATAAGATGTACGTTGATTTATTGCATGTGCAACCTAAAGAGGCTTATGACCCCAAGCAGGGAACAGAATTACCATAAACAACGACAGGAGTTTTCTAAATTCTGTCTGAGTCTGCAATTGCTCCTTGTCCAAGGATTGAATTGCATTGCTATTATCCAACAAAACGTGCAAGTCTTGTATGTTGTAGCCTAATTTTACCATACAAATAATTAGGAAGCCAAAAAAGCCTTGCCAATCATGTTAGGAACCAAAAATATTTGGCATTGCCAAATTATTTGGCATGGTTGAATTGAGCTCATAGCTTTGATTACCAACCAAACAAAAGCCTTGCAAATCTTTGCCAAAATTCTTGGCAATGACTAATCTTGCCATTCGTAAGGTTACAAATGGCAAAGAACCAAACATGCCCGCAGCCTTCAACTTGATATGGATATGCAGTTGTCATTTCCTATCCTGGCACAATGACTTAACACAATTATTTTTTATCAATAGCACAATTAGTCGATTAGAGTTAGTACCATATTATTGGCTTATATGATATCTGAGCACCTGAGCCCAAGTATTTGCCTTCTTGAGATATCACTGATTGAGTCAAGGACTTGCTACTACAATGCACTGGATATCAAACTGATGTTATTATTACTGAAGTTTGTGAGCATAAACTACAGGTATGTTATTCTGTTTTATGTTTAAATATCAGGTGTTAGCAAAGCAGCAGATGGATCTTCTCACAGCAAAAGCATGGTTTTATGAAAACAATCAACTAGAGATGAAGGTAAAGTAATTGTTCTGGGATAATGCTTGATCCCATTGTTTAGTGGCTTGACGTTCTTAAGTTCTGTGAGTTGGATAAATTTATATCCAAGTCCCTCTGTACAGAATTTATATCAAACTTATATTCTGTCTGGTGGTTTGACAAGTTTAATTATGCCTCGCAAATAGTCATATTTGGATGAGTTAATGACTTATGTCAAGCTTCATGTACAGTCTGATGGTTTGACAAGTTTAACAGCTCTAACCATGCTTTGCAAACAATCATAGTACCTTCCTTTCATTATTGTGTTATTTTGGTATTACAAGTTTGCAATCGTTATGTTCTAAACCTTTTTCCTGGACCTATTTCTGTTTAATTCTTGTCTAGAGTGGAATGAGGTTTACCACAGTCCACTGCATTATGAGCTATAAAGTTATGCTTAATCTGCATTATGAGGTAATCTTTGCCTGCTTGCATACTACTGGGCTTTGCAGCATGCAATTGAGATACTGTATGTATTGGAATGAAGTGTGATATATGCTGGTTTCTACTTGTAACTCCTGCTCCATGGTCCGGATTACCTTGTTTCTGAGATCTATCTGACACTCTTCTTTGTTTTAATTATTAGGTGGTAAAATTAAGTATACAAAACAGCATTCCTTCGGAGTACACACGCACTATCCTACTTCAAAACTTCGTGGAAAAAATAGAACAGGTACAACTTCTTTTGAGAATTTTCTACAAGTCATACATTAGTGTTTTCTTGCAGATAAAAATTTAGTTATGGGCTATTCCGTTTCAAAAATTATAAGAAGTGGGCTATTCAACTTGTTAAGACCAAAATTTTGTGCGAGAACATTGGTACAATTGCTCCCTCCGGTCACAAATACATATTGCTTTGGACATTGACCCATCTTCCAAACAATAATTTTGACACTCATATATATCCTAATATATTTGTAAAATCCGTAAAGTTATAATATTATGAAAGCACATTTTGAGACAAATCTACACATCATTTTCATTTAGCCAGTCAAGAGTTTTAAAAAATGTAATAATGCCCTGAAATTCAGACGTTCCGATGGATGCTTATCCAAAACAGGTATTTGTCACCGAAGGTGGTGTTTTGTACATGTTTTTCAGCTATGGCAACAGGTGAGTACAGTGGATTCTTTGTGATCTATAATATATGATTGAATTCTATGAACAAGCTTTCAACTTTCATGTTTAAGGATAATTATTGTAACCATTTAGCTTTGCTAGTTTGCTAATATTGGGAACATATTTTTAATTGGCCAGTTTTCAGAACCCTAGATGAGACTCTTAAGTTGAAGGTTTTTTTTTTTAACCACAATCTTCCACCAAATGTTCGACTTCAACCGCCGACGCAGTGAATCCCCTCCTAGAATCTAATGAATCTCACCGCCTTTTGTGCAGGGAAAGCAGAAGCCAAAGAAAAACAGCACCCAGAATGAGCAATCAGCGACGTCGCTCAACGGACTGACGCTCGGGTTCGGTGACACAGCTGCAACGAGGGAGAACCTTTCCGCTGGGTTCGGGGACACGAAACCACCAGAGAGGTTCGAGATGTTCGACAAGGCCGTCGGCTGCTGCAGCCGCCTCACGGACTGCTGCTGCTGCATGTGCTTCATCAACACCTGCAGCAAGATGAACGACCGGTGCGCCATCGTCATGGTGCAGCTGTGCGGCGCGCTCTCGTGCCTCGCATGCTTCGAGTGCTGCTCTCTGTGCTGCGGCGGGTCTGACTGAGGTAGGACCAAATGCTGAAATGTGCATAGAATTCTACTGTATAGGATGGGCACCACATATATTTGTATACAATAGTTCAAGAAAGACCCTTGTGTGGATGTTTTGATATCGGCCGTCTGTAAAAACCTATAAGATGGAAATCATCTGAGCACTGTCCATTTGATTTCAAGAGTTGAAAGAGTACATAAAAGAACTATGTACAGTAAAAAAAGAAGAGGAGATTCCTCCTTTCCAGTTGCCATCAAATTTGTAAGACACATCTGATTCCCGAGGGACAAATATGTGGAGGATTTCTACCTCTTGTTGTCTTTCCCTGTTCTTTCAATTGCAACCTCTCTATTAACCACCAATGATTCACCTTCCATGCTGTTATCATCTTGCACCGTTCTTTCGACTTCTACCTCTGCATCAACTGCCACAGGTTCACCATCCACTGTGTTCTCGGTGATGTGCTCCTCCACTTCGACCTCAGGTTCTTTCTCACCCTTGGGCTTCAGTGATATATGATGGAATGTGTCCTGAATCTTCCCTACTCCTTTCTCGACTCCTTTCTCCACAGGTCCGATCGCCTGCGAGATGGTTAAGGCCACATCCTTGACAACCTGCAGAAAGATGAACAATGTAATGTGATCATCTTGGTATACAGATATCAGCAATTCATTCTTGAAGTTTGATGCGATCAGTTTACATGATGGCCACCACCGATAACGACATCCTGAACGCTCTCTTTGATGCTTGTCCCTGGTGCTTCGACATGGGTCTCTTTCTCCTCAATGGTGGTTGGTGTGCCATTGCTGTCGTCGTCGGAATCTACCTTCACCTCTAGTTTACTTTCTTCACTGGTGATCTCTCCATGCTCTACCACCGGAATGTGCTGGTATGGCTCCACGTTGAAGACGAAAGCATGTGCGACAGCGGCAATAGCCATCTAAGAAAAGGACTAGCATGTTAATATTGTACTCCCTCCGTTTCAAAATGTTTAACACCGTTGACTTTTTAGCACATGTTTGACCGTTCGTCTTATACAAAAAAATTTGTGAAATACGTAAAACTATATGTGTACATGAAAGTATATTTAACAATGAATCAAATGATATGAAAAGAATTAATAATTACTTAAATTTTTTGAATAAGACGAATGGTCAAACACGTACTAAAAAGTCAACGGTGTCAAACATTTTAAAACGGAGGGAGTATAACAGAAGGCCAATCTGGGCACTACAAGAAGTATATTACCTCAATGCAAATGAGGAAATCCTGTATTGCATTCTGAACTTTGCCTTCCTTTGGGAGGATCCCAATATGGCAGATGATTGCAATGCCCAGTCCTTGCCACCAAGTGGCGAATACGATGGCCTTGAAGCTTATGAACTTGGCTAGTGGCCTTATTTCCTGTAGCTTTTCATGTGTTGCATTGTAAAATTTCACCAGACAATACAGTGCCCATGTCTGGCTGAAATTTATGACAACAGCAATGTAGGGGTATCTGTATGTTAAATGAATGCATTGGTTTAGCGAAAAAGAGCCATTACTATCGTTAAAAAAGTCATTACATGTATATTGGCGGTAGCAATTGCATGTTCACGGGCATTAAATCACGGTTTGCCTGAAATATTATTGCATATCATGATATCTAAACTCATGTTAACAACTAAAGAACTCTAAACAGAATATTTTCCATCATCTAGATATGGATTTTCATCCCTCGAGGGGATATCCCCTCGTTGTTTGCATGTCATCTAAATAGTTATTAAAAAAAATTGAAAAGAATTGACAACATAGATGAATATTAAATATATCACTCCACAAATACGCAAAACCAAATTTGACTCCTACAAGTTGCAACAAAAAGAACAAATTAAACTGAAAATAATTGTTGTATATTTGTATCTATATTTGTTATTTTTGTTATGTAGAAATTGAATTTTAACTTGCATGTTTGTGGAGTAATATATTTCATATTAATTTATCTTGCCAACAAAATTTAAATTTTTTGATAACAGATGGCATGCACGAAACGAGGGGATATCCTCTTGATGGATGAAATCACTTTCCCATATATCTACTATATTCTTTGAATTCACTTGTTTCTCTACTTTAAATAACCCAAAAAAGTTGTATGAGAGTTACCCATAGTACCACTTGAATTCACCATCTCCATATTTTCCAAAAAGCTCCAAGATGGATGACAAGAAAGCGCATAATGACTTGAGAATCATCTGAAATTTCGTGAAAGAAGGGATGTGAGACATTTTGCTATTGACCAATATCAGGATGAGAAAACATTTGCACGTTCTTACATATTGCACGAGACCGAATTTTATAATTGTGTACAATCTCTCTCCCAGAGCATTTGGATCCCAGAAGAAGATGTGGACTCTGCTTCGGTTACGAACTGGTGCCTTATCTTGACTCTCGAGCAACTGCTCAGTTAGCTCTTCCCTTTTTTTGTTCTCAAGCAAGCGAAACACTTGCCGTTCTCCACCTGAAATTGTTCAGAACTCAACATTTCCATGGCTTAAGTTTACAGGGATGTGTATGATATACATAACAAGTTGGTGGAGGTCATTTATGAATATGCAGTGCAAATTCTATAGTAGATTGATGATGGATCAATGATGTTTGCATATTATTCATAAGTAGGTAGGATTACCCAGACAAGCAACCAAGTAACGCCCGAAGGCATAGAGCGCAAATGCTTCATAACAATTCCTCAGTATATCACAGGCCAAGGAGAACTCTGAATGCCACAGCGAAATTATCTGAAAAAAATTGGAAACTGAAATGGGATATCAATTTATGTCAGTATGTTACATGGTTTTTAAAAAAAGAATGCTACATGCCTATATGCAGGTAAAATCTGATAACCAAATTAAGCAGCCATGATATTCTGGTACTATTACCACCGTGGCATGAGCAACCTTGAACAGTCAGTAAGCTCAGTAAGATTGCATTAGCATTTCCACAACACAATATACTACTGAATGCAAATCTAGTAGAACAATCAATCATGATGCCGCGTCAATTAGATAACCTTCCTACAACAAATCTGAGAATAAACAGAGAGTCCCCCCAACTTACAGATTCAGAGGCATATACAGGCACCATAAACAGGACAGCAATGATCCATTTCTGCTCCTGCAGAATCCAATTTTCAACAGCTTAAAAACAACTGCTTCGCCCCGGTCCAACTGCAGCAAACTACTCCACAAATTGTTCTATTCCTTCCGATCCATACAGCTAAAATGGCCACCCAAAAAGTGCAGGGTTGTGATGTATATCATGTTGTTACCTCTGGGTTGCTGTATGATCTGAGATGCTGCAGTATGAGCCAGAGCGAGACGAGGAGGGCGACGAGCACAAACGCCGCCCCGACGAGCACCACACTGGTGTGCAGGCTCCTGTACAGATCCCGGAAGCTGGACGACCCCTCATCAAGTGCCATCGATCGATCGAATCAAACCCTCCGCAAGAACAGCGCCATATAACGCTTACAGACTGAATGACTGATCGACTGAAAATAGAGATCTTTTGCAACCGCGATTCTCAGCTTCTAGCGAGTAAGCAGCTTCAACACATTTAATTCTTCAGAACCTTGTGTCTAAAAATGATTCAGAATATAATTCTCTCTATTTCGGAGAAAGCTAGCTAGGCTACCATTAATTCTTGGGAATGAATATTGCATGCTAAGTAAATGAATCACTAGACGAGGGCGGCTCTGAGGCCGAGCCGATGAACTAACTAATCGCAAACTAGCTAGCATTTCATCTGGATTCTGGAGTAGTACATACAGATACAGAAGTGGAATGAGATAGATAGACAGAAGGCGCTAACCTCGGATCCTTTCTCCTCTGAATAGTGCGACTGTTGCGTCGAATCGAATGAGGAGGAGATCGAAGAAGCTGGCGCTGGCGGGCGGGCTGTGCCTGCCTGCCTTGCCGTGCGAGCAGTGCAGGCATGGGCATGGCGAGAGGAGGCACGTGTCCCGCCCAGTCTGCGAACGTGGCGAACAGCCCGCTGCTCTCGTTTGCATTGCATTGCCTGCTCAGCTCAACTCTCAAGACGGTCGCGTCTCCTATCTCTTCTTTTGCCCACACCGAATTAATTAATTACTCTATTTGATTCTTGGAAGTCCACGTTCCATTTTTATTTTGATGTGATTTTCTCTTTTTTTTAAAGAAAATAAATTCGATTAGGAACACACCATGTAAGCACACGCGTCACACTCAGAAGACACGAATGTTAAGGAAAATAACTAATATCAAATAATTAGAATTTAGAACGGGTGATTCTTCGAAACCAGGTCGTCTAGCATGCTACCTTATGCAGCTAGTCGGAACATCACACTCACATACCCATGAGTATGTCCTTTAACATACAATTAAGAGACATATATGATCATGAAGTGTGCTTAGGTCCACTAATTAGGTTTCTTATGGTAGAACCAACTCACTTGGGTTTAAGTTTTAGACTTGACATATGTGTTAGATATTTGTAGCTCGTTTTCTTTGAATGATATGCGATGTATCAGTTGACAACAAGATATCCGTGATGATTTTATCAATTTTAAAATATTCTAGTATTTTTGAAGGTGTTTATAAAAATAACATATGTGTGAACGTTTACAGAGATGAGTGTCTTGTTATGTACTATGTTTAAGAAAAAAGACATATGGTTGGATTACTTTCTTCTTTTGCCCATGCCGAACTACTTCTACTACTTATAGCTAATTAACTTCTACTACTTATAGCTAATTAATTACTATGTTTCGTGCAACCAAGTCCACGCTAATAATAATAATAATAATAATAATAATAAAACAATAATAATAATAATAATAATAATAATAATAATAATAATAATAATAATAATAATTATTATTATTATTATTATTCCCTTTGCCGTTCTAGGAGGCTGATCTTCGGCTACCTTTTTTTTTTATTTTGATGCGAAATTTTTTATTTAGGCACATACTTACTACATCATACTTACTTCCTTCCTCTCATAGAAACCTAGAATAAGAAATACTCCCTCCATCCTAAAATGTTTGACGCCGTTGACTTTTTAAAAAATGTTTGACCGTTCGTCTTATTCAAAAAATTTAAGTAATTATTAATTCTTTTTCTATCATTTAATTTATTGTTAAATATACTTTTATGTATATATATAGTTTTACACATTTCACAAAAGTTTTTGAATAAGATGAACGGTCAAACATGTTTAAAAAAATCAACGGCGTCAAACATTTAGGGAAGGAGGGAGTACGATGTTTATTTAGGTTTGACTTTTATGGGATAAAGAGAGTACAGAATATACATAGATATGATCACTAAAACACAATCAAGGAAAAAATAGATAGGGTCAGACTTAGCCCTCGTGCCACCGGATCACGCCACAAGACCTTCGATTGGAGGCTCATAAGTTCATTTTAGGTCTCTCAATTTAATGTGAAATTCATCTTGAACTGAAAGATATAACGCGTCATTCAACTTCTAAAACCAGTTTATCCTCCACTGTTGATACCGACTTCCTAGCCTGGCAGCCTGACAAATTTGGAAAATTTTCAGTTCGTAGTGCATACGCCCTTGCTTCGAATTTGGCCCGGCTGGAAGAAAGTTCCTGCTCTTCTTCTTCTGCGATGAACAAAGCATGGAACCTAGTTTGGAAGTGCACCATTCCACCAAAGGTAAGAATTTTTGCCTGGAGAGTAGCCTCAAACAGTTTAGCGACTTTGGTAAATAAAAAGAAAAGAAACTTGGAAAAAACAGATATCTGCTCTATTTGCGACAGGGAGAAGGAGGATGCTGCTCATGCCTTGTGCAGATGTATTCATGCTAGCCAGCTCTGGGCATCCTTATACAAGTCAGGAAGTATCCCTATGGATGTTCAGAATATTCAGTTTGGCACTAACTGGCTTTTTTGACTGTATTGAAGGTCTGTCTGAGTATGACCGTGCCATGTTTTTGATGGTTCTCTAGAGGAACTGGTTTGTGAGAAATGAACTTATGCATGATAAAGCAGCCCAACCAATCGAGGTCTCAAAGAGATTCATTGTAAGCTATGTAGACACACTGTTCCAAATCCGGCAAAACCCTTCTGTCGACTTGGTAAAGGGCAGATGTGTGGTTAATTCAGCCAATGGTTCGCTCAGGTCCCACGCGTCGCCCAAGCCTCTGCTGCGATGGGAAAGACCACCAGTGGGGTGGATGAAACTAAACATAGATGGCTCCTTTGACAGTAGTGCAGAGAAAGGGGGTGTCGGGGCAATTCTTTGGGATAGCGCTGGGAAAGCATCTTTGTTTCCTGTAAGCCAATCGAGAGATGCAGTGAGGCTCTGGAATCTGAACTCCGGGCGTTTGTGGATGGTCTGTCAAAGGCAATTCAGTGGACTTTACTCCCAATAGTGGTTGAGACAGATTGTCTCACAATTCTTCATCTTCTTGATAGCAAGGAGAAGGATCGTTCGATGTTTGCTAGCATCATTCAGGAAGCGAAGGCGCTTGTCGCTGGTGGTAACAGAGAGATTGTCATCAGGAAAGTGAGCCGAAGTCAAAATTCAGTTAGCCACCTCCTCGCAAACAAAGCTAGGGTGGAGTCTTGCTCAATCTTTTGGTCGGAAGGAAATTGTAATCCTCTTCCACAGTTAGTCTGTGGATTCATTGATCCTGAGTAATATATGTTTTCTTTTCCGCAAAAAAAAACTTCTAAAACCAGTGCAAACTTGGTCCCAAGACGGATTAGATGGTAGTTTCGGTTGATGTGGCGTCTGCGTGGCTGGTTTAACTAGGTCATCGTTCTACGTGGTATTGACGTGGTAGTTGCAATCATAACAAAGAGTAAATTTACAAAACTACAGATTTAAGACGTTATATGACAAAACTACATATTCAACATAAGATTTATCACAAAACTACATATTTAAGGTAAACTACATATTTGAGTGGCATCCTTGCAATATTGAAAAAACCGGTGGCAAATTTGCAAATGCTCCTTAAGGTAAAGTATCATGAAACTACGGATTTAATACTAGAGTTATCATAAAACTACAGATTTTACAGTTTAAATCCCTACCACTAATGTGATGTTAGAGTTATAGATGTTGTAGTTTAGAGTTATAGATGTTGTAGTTTTATACTTAACATGGTGCAAAACACGTAGTTTTGTGATACTTTTATTATTAAATATATAGTTTGGTGCTCTTTAATCTTAAAATATGTAGTACTTTGATAAATTTAATCATAAACCTATAGTTTTGTGATACCCATTCTTAAACATATAGTTTTGTGATAGTTTTATTAATGCATACAGCGGCGGAGCCAACGGGAGGGGGGGGGGCTCGAGTCCCTGCTACCCCGCTGGACTCCATGGAAATGTGAGGGAGGAGAGGGGGAGGAGGGAAAGAGGGAGAGAGGGAGAGGAAGAAGAAAATGGGGGAGAGAGGGGGCTGGAGGAGGAGGAAGAAGGCTGAGCCCCCCTCTCCTCCAAACCTAGCTCCGCCGCTCCGCCACTGAATGCATATGTAGTTTCGTGAAATTTTCTTAAAAAAGAATAAGACCTATGTGTCAATGATTGTCCCGCTAAAAGTAAAAACATTAAAGTGGGTCCTATCCTTTTTCTTATCTTTTCTTCTCTTTTTCTTTCTCTTTTCTCCTTTCTTGCTTCTTATCCTCGTTCTCTTCTCCGATTCACCTTCCTGCTCGCCCACACGCCCAGGGCGGATGCCGCATGCCAGCACGGCGGCGCCCTTGTCGGGATGGTGGAGATGCTAGTGATGGGCAGGCCCGATGGGCGGCGGCGCCACATTGGATAGATGGGTTACTCGCATGATTCAGCAAACACTCAACTGTGTTTTCACTTTCGGAGGCTTTTCTTCCAAGCAAGATTGCCTGAATCAAATACCCCCATGCACGCATGAATTGTCCATTCATCCTGCAGATTAGTCAAGCAGTAATAGTTTCTTCAGTTAAAAAAAAAGAGAGGAAAATTCAGACATGGAGACGAAGGTGGCCGTGGCCACACTACTAAAAAAAAGCTCATAGAGATCGGCACCTATAATGCTTTTCCCTCCTCTGTAGACTGAAAACACATAAAATCGACACCTTTAAACAACTATAGGTGCCGGTTCTAAAGAAGAACCGACACATATAACATAAGTGCCAATTTTTTTAAAAAAACCCGACACCTTTAATATAATATAATATAGGTGTCGGTTTTCTAAAGAAAAACCGACACCCCGACACCTATAATTTATTATAGGTATCGGTTTTTTTAAAAAAACCGACGCCTTTTCAAACCGAGCCGAGCCGATCCAGCCCGATGATTCATACCGAGCCGAACCGATCCAGGCTGACGCCTATATGAGTCAAACTTCTCGTCTTCTCTCGGCCTTATCTCTATCTCACTCTCTCTTTTTCTCGCCTCCTTCTCGTCTCTCTCTCTCTCGTCTTCTATCTTGCACGGTGGCGGCAAAGGCGGCGTCAGCGGCGGCGAGATGGGAGGCAGCGGGCGACAGGCAGCGCTTCCCCTCCGCCGGGCGGGCAACGGGCTTCGGCGGCGCCGTCAGCGGCAGCGAGATGGGAGGCGGCGGCGCCCTCTCCTCCGCCGGATCCGGCGGGAGGGGAGGCGGCGGGCGACGGTCTTCGACAGCGTCGTCAGCGGCGGCGAGATGGGAGGCGGCGAGCGACGGCGGGCAACGGCGCCCTCCCCTCCGCCGGATCCGGCGGGAAGGGAGGCGGCGGGCGACGGCGGCGGCGGCGCCCTCCCCTCCACCGGATCTGGCCGGAGGGGAGGTGACGGGCGGCGGCCAGCCCCTCTTCCTCCCTCATCTCTTTGTAGATTTTTTATTAGATGTTTTGATAGATTTTGGTGATGATTTGTGAATGATTATCTGTGATGTCAATCAATTTTGGTGACGATTTGTGGATGATTTGGGGATTTCAATTTGATTTGGGCACATAGCTACGGTGCTCAATGAGTTC